ACATTGACGAGTGACAACCAAAGAAACACACTTCATAAACAGTTAAAACGTTGAAATACAGCGTTTACATGTTTTTTTTCTTGCCTCGTCTCCGTTGTTCATTCTTTTAAAGTTGCGTCGCCATAGTTATTTTTCAACGCCGTATATAATACAATAATTATAAGAAATCAAATGAATTGATCGTGAGCGATGTTGACCCAATTATTTGCGTGTATTACGGTATCTGTTTCTGTCTGTTCGGCTTCTTGGGCCCTCTCTTTTTCTTCTGTTGGTTGTTTTTTCTTTGCTTAATTCAATTTCGAATCTCTTGAGCCATACGATCGACTACTCTGGCTTCACTTCACATTTCGCCATCAATGACTTTTTGGCAAATATGCTATGTTACCGATTCAATTCAATTTAAATTTCCACTTGAAATTCAAAATCCAAATAAAATTCAACCCAAATTCGATGCGTTAGAAATAACCAATAAAAAAACTGAACTCTGTTTAGGGTAACGTTTATATTTTATAAACAAAATAACAAAGCATACACGTCTAATGCGTGTGTATAAGCATCACGAAATGTCCCTGCGAAGTCACTCAACTCTCATTTAGTCGCGTAATCTCTCGTTCGCTCACTCTGAATAATCGCATAAATTATGTGCGATACAGTTTCCGTCATTAAACATTTGTTTCAATACGCAAAAATCTGATTGCTATCCGATATGTGATCGAAATCGTGTCCAACAGCGAGAAATGCAAGAAAAAAAAAACATATTTTTAACGAAGCAGCAACAGTGGCTGCAGTATGATAATGAGAGAGCTGAATTTTTTTTCTGGCCGATTTCACAGAACGAGTGAAAATGGGCTTTTTCAATAATAAAACACGTTCACAGTTCGCACAAATCCTTTAATGCCCGGCAATCGTGTGTGTGTGTGTGTGCGCTGTGCGTGCGTGAATTCCTTTCTGCTGGTTTAAAAAAGTGTTTGTCTTTTATTACCTGCTTAACTGATCAAAATTGCATGTGTTTTTTTTTTTTGCACAAGTAATTTACATTGCACGATTTTTATGCGACAGCGAGAATTCACGAAATTGGGCAATTCGAGAGAGAGCGAGAAAGCGAGAGAGATCTCATGTGTCAACGAACAGCAACTGACACAATATGAAAAATGGTTAATTATGTTTGTTTTTGTCAGGCTGAAGGTTGATCATATAGCTGTTGCCCATTTGTGTGTCGTCATCGTCATTGCAATCGACACTTATTAGTACCATGCAAATCGATGCAATCTGATTCGATATGGGGGAGGGCGAGTATGAACGAGTGAAACAAAAAGTAACAGTGCCATTCATTAGCCAAATTACAGCAATTTCGGAATGCGATGCGTAGGCAAAAGCCATTACTTTCGGTCCATTCAATTTATAATCCATTTGAAATATGATATAACTATCAATTTGAAGTAATTGAAATGGACTATTTTTTCGATTGTTTTTGGTGGGCGCCAGACGACAGAAAAAGAAACAATAACAATCGATTGTTTGGAAGGGAAAAAAGATTACAACCAACCAATTGATAGAAATTTCATTAATGAGTAGTGGCCGGGGACTACGGCACACATTTCATTGGAAATCCAAATGACTCTTACACACGTGCCAAAACCCCTTTTTTCGCTTTTTCGCTGTAAATGAACGAACTAATGAACGAAACAAAGAAAAAAAACGTTTCGCGTCAAGAACTATAATCACACACTCCGTTATCAATATCAAATTCTCGAAATTGTTTGAACGACAAAGTTATTATCGTCATTTGTTAATAAATTGCATAAAATTGTTGATAAAACACTTATCGATAGGCAACACATGCGACAAGTTATACACACACTGAAATCCCCCCCCCCCCCTCTCCGTTGAACCCCTCATGACTCATTGCTGCTGCGACAACCACAACAATCACACGTTTATCAAAAATAAAACTAGAATAAACATTTTCGTGTATAATTTCAGCATTATAAATAGCAAAATACGGCAAGAAATTAACGAAAAGAAAAAAAAGTATTTGAAATGTTTATCGATGTTCCAAAAGTCAGTTCAGTGATATCATAAAAATCATCGATCGTGTTTCCAAGTTATTTTAAGATAAAGGCGAATCGACTTGATGATTCAGGTGATTCATTGATTCTCTATACACACCAATAATCGCATAGATAGCCAACAGTGAGTGGCAGTCGTGTCGATTGTGTCGCATAAACGTAATAGCATCACACCGATACGGTCGTCCGTTTTAAAACCGTCCGAACAACAGAGGCAGCAGAAAGAGAAAAAAAAACGTTTGTTTTGTGCTTTGTATAATGAGGAGGGTAAACAAGTTTCCTACGAATATCGTCGATTGTTCTGTGTTTTATGTGAATAAATTGGAAAAATCGATGGACAAAGTCAAAGTGAGCAGCAGAGAAACAGTTTAATAATTTAAAATCGATTGTCAGAAACGTATACACGGGCGCGATACAAAAACCGAAACGGATTTAAGTCAAAACGAGTGCCATATGTGTTCTATGTCATGCACAAGCCCCGTTCACAAGTGGCTTGTTTATTAGAATGTGCATCCAAATATTTTTCAAACGATTTCGAATGAAAGTTAGACCCGCACCACCGCCACCACCGTTGCATTATTATCAGTGCAGCAAACGTAAGCCATCAATTGTAAATGTACAATCGCAACCGTTTGACAGCATCAGTACGGATACAATAACACTAACGTTGAGCAAAACGACCGTTACCGCTCAGCAAAACAAATACAAACCCAACAACAACAGCAACAACAACAGCAATAATTCATTTAAACTCATGCGAACGGCATCACATGAGAAGCTCATGTGGCAAGTTGTCACAGTGCCGGCCAAATTAAGCGATGCATTTGGCTCGTTGCTACGATATGCACAAGAATCAATCAACATATTCTTCTGTCCAACGTAAGTGTAACACTCATCTCCATACCGTAAACACCATACCTACAGCGCGACGCAATTTTGCGACACAAAAATATCATATTGCACCATCGATTGAAAATCGAATCGAATCTAACGACGACGACGAAGACGAAAAAAGAGATGAGTCATATAAATGTTGTATAGTCTTAAAATAACTTTAATTGACCACCACTTTAGCGAGTCGCCCGTTTGTTTATTAAGGGATAATAAATGGTCGTTTGCGATAAGATAGAACCAATTTATTATTGGTTCTTTCTCCAGCATATTTCCTCGCGCGCGCGCACACACACACAGGCAATCCAATATTGTGTCGATAGAAAATGAGACATTTCATGTATCAAAAGAAAAAAAATCGGAGAAGCACCAGTAGAAGAGGGTCTATTTCATTTTGTTCACATTCTCTTTTGATTTAATTTTTTCAAATGGTGATTGAGGTTCTTTTTATTCTTCGGACGAATTTTTTTTTTCGATTTCCTCTTGGCGATTTAGGACCAGACCGCTTTCATCCGCTTAAGCTTTTACATCAAAGATCCGGGTTTTGTTGTTGTCGCTCATTTCATAAGGATATCTAAATCCCACACATACACACATCTGCCATCCCTCTCACAATCATCGAATAAATGGAAATATTGTTTTTATGACATGGATACACCGAGAGCGCCATGCCATTGAAAGTTTATTGGGTTGTCATGTGTCGGTCAAAAAAGACCCATTGTAAATATTAGAAAATTATATTTTCGTTATGAGGCGAGGATGAAATTAAGACAATAGCATATATTTAAAATGAATACAAAAGCTTTGGTAAAAATGTGTTTTTTTGTGTAAATAACCGTTCAGAATGGGGCACATTCATTTTTTGCAACAATATCGATCCATAGCAGGTGGTCTCATTTGAAACAGCGGAAACGTTTATTCCGAACTTTTCACATTGAAAAAGCTAGAATTCCAATTATCAATTTCAATGAATCTATCAATATAGATAGCAATTGACATGGTGATTACATGATGTATTGCATTTCATATCATTTCGAATAATTGCCATTTGTCATTGGGGGAAAACGGTTTTTTGAATGAAAGAAGAAAAAAAATATGCAAAAATCATCATATTCGCTCCATAAAATAAATGTTTGAAACAATACCTTCGAACAGCAGCAGAAACAAAAAACGTGCGAAGCAAGCACAACGGTGGTAATTCAATCAGTTCGGCTTTTTTTCGTTTACTCTTTGGCAGTTCATGCTGTAATAATGTGCCGCAAAGTGATGGTAACGAAATGAAGGAATGTGAGACCGAACTTTTGAAATAATTAAATTGAAATGACATCATATTGAGTGCAAATCAAATAAATTTGTACGTGAGTCTCTCTCTCTCTCTCTCTCTGTCTCTCTCTCTCTATCTCTGTGGGTAGTAGGTAGTACGCAATTTTTAATATTAATCCTCATGCACTCGCAGCACATGTTTGCTCAGGCGTACACAAAAAAAAACCCAACGAGGAAATACACCGAAAAAAACCGCACATCAATCTCTGAAACAAAGGAATTTAATATGAGGAGCTTTTGAATACGCTGGGCAAAACAAAGTAGCGAGAGATAAAAGAGAACCACGCGCACACACGATGGATATAAAAAAAAACCAGTTTATCATATTTGGTTTGCGGCATAATGTCAACACACCTCACCTCACATGCAAGCATACACAAGCACCATTCTATTCCGTTAGCAAAGGCGTTTGTTTTGGTTCCTCTCTTGATAACAAACACACAATGACACATTGAAAATGGCATTTGCTCGCGTCCAGAACATACGGTTCTCTTCAGAAAAAAAAGACAAGAAAAAAAAACCCAACAACGCAACAAAACCAAACCTGAATCGTTTCTATTTTTAATGGATAGAATTTATTTATTTTTCTCTCAATATTATTTATGCAAACAATAAAACAATAGACACCATTTATAACAGATGAAATATCATTGAGTTAATTCATTAATATTGTCTCATTTTCTCTCTTTATCTCTTTGTGCTGTGTCCAATTTACAGAAAAGCCCGGCGCAAAGAAAAGGATGGTGATCAAAATTCAAATGACACAAAACTCTATTTAGAAGAAAGTGTACTTGAACGAAAACTTACCGATGCCAACCTTAATACAATTATAGAACTTCCAGCTGGCTTAGACTATAACGAATGGCTTGCTTCGCACAGTAAGTATACTTCAATTCAGGTCGATAGAAGAACATTATTTTCCATGTGTCAACAATACAAAAATTTACATGTGGCTTTTTTTTTCTTTTTCTTCCATTCTTTTTACGTAGCATTGGCACTATTTGAACATGTAAATTTAGTGTACGGAACAATTAGTGAATTTTGTACAACATCCGGGTGCCCAGATATGACTGGACCAGGAAATAGGTAATGATTCAATCACTTAAACCATCACTATGTTTTTATGGAATTGTGTTTTCTTTTTGACAATTTACTTTGGATTTTTTTTTTTCGTTTTGCAAATTTTTGCTACTAAACTCTGACCTAAACCAACCATTTTCCTTCTTTTCTTTTCGTTCTCTTTCACGACAGAATGTACTTATGGTTCGACGAAAAAGGGAAAAAGACTCGCGTTGCAGCACCGCAATACATCGACTATGTAATGACATTTACACAAAAAACTGTTAGCGATGAGTCGATATTTCCAACAAAATATGCCAACGAATTTCCTAGTTCATTCGAAAGCATTGCAAGGAAAATCTTGCGACTATTATTTCATGTGATTGCTCATTTGTATGCAGCCCACTTTCGGGAGATTGCTTTGTTAGGTTTACATTCGCATTTAAATTTAACATTTGCCCATTTGACCGCGTTGCATAAGTAAGTATTGAATTGTGTGACAACGTCTTCTTCTTGATATTTTCGTTTATTTGTGCATTTCTTTTCCATATTTGTGAGCAAATTTCATCCCCTCAAGCAGTTTTCTCCAGTTATATCGATACAATTCGTATTCAGAAAACTAAATTTCTCTCGATATTTTTTGTAGGCGTTTCAATTTAATAGAATCCAAAGAAACTGATGTGTTACGTGACCTGGAGATCGCATTGCGATTAACTGATGATCCCGCATTACCACAGCAGCAACAGTCGGTGTCGTCATCATCGATACCGTGCACGGAATTAAATTCACAAACGTCTCTGCTACAGTCCTCAACTAATTTAACGACAATACACACGATGTCCTCGACTACATCTGCTTCAATAACGGCAGCAACAGGTATGATGCGACGATTTGTGGCGGGAAAAAAAATGTCCACTTGTTTTTTGTTTTCTCGTGTGATCAACTCAGTTCATGGTTTAATTTTGGCTGTGAATTTAAAATTTATTGACTTGAATTGGTTTTTGAATTTTGCGAGTAGCACGAAAACAACATGCGAACATTTTTTTTTTTTTTTGAAGCAAATTTTCAAACTGAAAATGTTCGGGCTTTCTGGTAAATATGATCAAGTTGCTAACGTTATTTCTTTCGAATCTACCTTTCCAGTCACAACCAGCAGTAGCACTACGCTTGTAAATTATAGTGATGATCAAACACAAGTTTCGCTTATCGGTGATACGGGGCTAAGTACGCAGCTGGATGCGACGTCGTCGTCGGCGGCAGCAACCACATCGACAAATGGATCAAATCTCATTTCGGACACGTCATCTCAGCAACAGCAGCAACAGCCTCAGCAACAGCGCGGATAGGCAACAACAACAAAAAAATCCACTGAATTGGACGCACTATTTATAAACAAATAATAACAACAACAGAAACAGAAAATCTATCTCCATTGAAATACACACACACACACATTTTCGTCGCTTTACGCTGTGCACATTTATATGGAATTTTCATTAATCGAAACAATCGTCCTAAACAACAACAAGAAAAATTTAAAATATTCAAAGAAGAAAAACAAGAACGTTTCCAAACGAAAAGAAATGTTAAGGCAGAGGCAATGGACCCCCTAACACAAATTTAAAAAAAAAATAAAATAAAAAAAATACAAAATTCTAAATTAGATGGTATCACTTCCAAATAAGTATGTCACAGCAAAAAACGATAGAAAACGTGTCTAAACCGAAACAACAACAAAAAATCATAGAAACAACCAACTAAACAATTAAATTGGAATGGTAAACAGTAAAAACAGAAGGAAAAATTGCTTAAAAGCCATTGAAAAAATGAATTTTATATTTTCAAGAGAGAGAAAATTACATTTAACAAGAAAAAAAAAACACAAACCAAAATAGCATCGAGACTAAACACAATCATGAAAAAAAAACATGCAATTATTTAAATATTGGATTTAAAACAAATAAAAAAGAAGAAAAAAAAAACAAAACAAAAACTATCTCTCCTGTTGAACGGGGTGTTTACAGATGTTATGCCGAACAAATGAAATTATAACAAAAACCAACACACACACATACACATAACACACGAACTTTGTCATCCAATTTTATTTGAGCGCCAATCTCTGACCAATGTGATTTACGTTTTTTTTTTCTTTTAACTATATTTATAAAAAAAAGGAAAGTAGAAAAAAAAGTGAAAATGAAAGAACACAAAAAAAATATGTTTAACTATTTTTATGATTCTATTGTTATTTGAGAGTAAAAGAAAAATACATACACAGATGAATATAACGAGTGAAAAAAGGATGCAGCGAATGCAAAATTGACAGTAGACACGGTGTAGTGGAAAAATAAAAAGTGAATTAACTAACTAATTAAATGAAGAGAAAAAAATAAATTATGAGAGAAAATAATTTTCTAGGCCCTGTTCGTGATGGGATCACAAAATGGATCACATATACATACACACACACAGCAAATTGATTTGCAAATGACGTCGACCACGGTTGGATAGAAAAACAAAAACATATATTGTGTTGTCATTTCGTTTGCAATCAATTTGCCCAAGTGGTTCGTTGGCTAAATTATTGCATAATCTATGTTCACTATTATTATATTATTATTATAAATTAAAGGGCGAAACCACGTTGAATGTGAGAACATCGCACAAAATCCCATTTTGATGTCACTGACTTTATTTAAAAAAAAAAACGAAATAAATAATAAAATAAGACTTTATTTTTGTCATTCTTCACCCAAGTGTTTTGGTACAAATTTCATTCTTTTGGCGATTTTTTTTTCTTTTGAAGCACTGAAACAGTATTTAATATTAAAAATTTTGATATTAAATACTGTTTTCGATTCAAAAAAATTCGATATATTTTTTGTTTGAAATATTTAAAATTGATGGTTAGTGTTGGCCGTCGAACACTTTCGAACGCTTGTTCGACCGTTCGACATGATTTAAAAAAATCATTTTGTTCGTTCGAAAATGTTTTGTTCGTTGTTCGGTCCGAATAACATTAAATTTTGTATGAAAAAAAGACTTTGTTCGGACCGAACACCGAACAAAACATTTTCGAACGAATAAAATTATTTTTTTAAATCATGTCGAACGAACGTTCGAAACCAACACTATTGATGGATCAATTAACATTAATAACGAAATGATCTTTCAAAAAGAACAATTTTTTTCGAAAATTTTGAACAGACATGGTTTGACACATCATTCTTTGACGTCAGTTAACTTATATTCTTATCCATCGAAGTGAAAATGATGTTTCATGCCAGAATTTAAATTTGTGTCAAAGAAATAAGTCATTCAAAACCAATCGGAATGTTTGTTTTCCAAAATGGCAATTATCACTTTCCAAAAACCACCAAGAATGGATTAAAACCATCAACAAAAAAAATGGTAAATTTTTGCGATATTCTTCGATTTGATGTGTTTACGCTCGAAAAGTTACTACACACCCACACACACACACAACAAATAAACAAAAAAAACTCACACACAAAAACCACACCTAAAAAAAACAAAAAAACGTAGGATATTTAAATCAAATTTATGATAATGTTGACATAAATAGAGATTTGACAAATACAAATCAAAAAATGATTTAAAAAAAATGAAATACGTTGTTACTTGTAAAAAAAAATGAAGAACCTATAATTGCGATCTATAAAAAAAACACACACAGAATTATATTTCCTTCTTTCAGACGAAAAGAACATCATCCGTACAACAACACATATGAAAAGCCAAAACAATAAGAAAAAAACAACATAAATTATCGTATCAAGTTGTTCAAATAATTAAGAAAAAAAAATTGAACCTCCAATTCAATTAATCGAATTTTTGATCGTTTGTTAGACACACCGCAATTTGTTTGTGTGTGTTTTTAGAAAACACATATTTACCACCCCCTCCCAAAAAAAAAATTAATAACCGGATGAAAAAACAAAAAGTGAAGACAAAGAAACCAAGATTTAGTAATGTGAAATTTTCGTTTAGAACCGAGATGAATCCATTTTATCAAACATTGTCACCACAACCACCACACAACACCATACAATGTTTCGTTTCCTAAACAACTCACACACTCGACTGAACCAAATGAAAGAGAGATATTATGACACATCTTCCGTAATTTTAAAACACAACAAGAATGATGATGAAGAAGCAGCCAGTCAACATAATCCAAATAGTGTTTGAAATTGTGATAGGATCTTAGTATTCTGTAATATTTAGATCCGATGACAACCAAAATTAACAGCATAATAGAGACGAATCAACAAACGTCATTGTTTTTATTTTCTTTATTTTTTACTGGGAAGAAAAAAGAAGCAATTTCACAAAATCGATGATGATGAAGACGACGACGACGACGACATAAACACAAAAACAAGCTTTAATTAAACCAAAAAAAAGATATGAAGAGAAACACGTACATACAAACAAAAATCAAAGTTATTAAATTTCACAAGAAATAAACACACACACACACATTAAATAACACAAGTTGAATCTAATACTTAGTGGCGTTCGTTTCAACAAGAAAAAGAAATATATGCCAAAAGAAAATCAACTAGATTGCTACTTTAGAGTTGTTGGGTTTAATTTTTCATTTTGTTTTCATTTTTCGTTCTCATTTTTTGTGTGTTCAATAGCGAAATTTCCGTTTTAAAATGTTGAAACCAAACTAAAACTGGAAGAAAGAAACAAACGTTTGAATATCTTCTCATTTCATAGAATACGCAGACACACAGAGTGTGGGCTCACAATTCAATACGGGCCCCACATATTCAAATAACGACAACACATAACGAACGAAACAGATTTTGAGAGCTATTTTATAGTTTACGTTTACATTAGTGATTCAACTCTAGCCAGGCTTTAATTAAATTACTTTAACATGATGAAATAAAATAGAAAACAAATTAAAAAGTTATTCAATTGGTGTGTGGCGAATAGCCGAATAAGTTTTGTGTGACATTTATTGGGTGGTTCGGTTTATGTCCCATTTCGAGCATTTTGTTGAAGATATTGAATTTGTTTTTCCTCATTTCATTGGAATTTGGCGATGATCGAGCCTGAATGAGGCAAAATATGGCCTAACTTTGTCAAATGAAACCAATTTCTGTATGGCCGAAAACCTTTTGAAGATCTCCAAGTCAAATGTTCCCACTGCCGGACATCATCTGACGATGACATATTCAAATAGCCACACTTAACTTATTTGGTCACTCTAATCATGGATCAATAACACAGTAAAACAATAGAAAAATACAGTGAGAATTAGCAAAACACACAGACACCACCCACACGAAATGCTAACAAATAATTGACTAGCATTCGTTTATGTTTCCTTTTTTTTAGGTTATTTAAATGTTAAGAACAGAATTCAGTGAATAAAGTTAATATTTAAAAAAGAAGATAAAACAGAAGAAAAATATGGTTGAGATAAAGACACGTAGAAAGGAGATAAATGTGAAATGTATACAAAAAGAGGACAAAACTTCTATTACACAACATTATTGAAATAAAAATGAAAAAGCAAAAAAAAAGTTTAAAAAAAATATTTTGAAGCTAACTCTACTTATTCGACTTATTGTCTTGTGCTTAGGCGAAGAAAGCAAATTTCTAACTTCGACTAAAAAGAGAAATTGACACGGACAGTTTTTCAAAATGAGAGAAATTCTTCCAAAGCAAATTTCTTGAAAAACATTTCATAAAGGAGAAGAAACTTGTTCATATTTTGCTTCATGGAAAACATTGCAATTTCAAGTAATAAGAGTTACTGATTGCTGCCTCTCGAATATTGTTCACAGAATTTTTTTTGTCAGCTGCAGTCTGGAATATCGTTTCGAATACTTGTTTGTTGTTCAAATAACTTCTTGTCAACGTTCCTCACCACTCTCACCTAGATGTGGTCGAATTGTTCAGAAGTCATTTCAACCAAAAAACAGAAACAACTTATGTTACTGTACAATGTCTTGCGAATTGTTTATCGTCAATGGCGTTCGGAGTTCATCACTTGATTATGTCGCGCTCTTTCGTTTGGAATTGACTCTTTCCGACTCTTTTCGGTTCGATTATAGAATAAAAGTTATAGTTACACCTCCAAACGGTGCATTCATTCAAATTCTATTTTGGGAAAAAGTTTTATCATTCTACACCATTACGATAAATTTTAAAAGAAAAATGAATTTTTCGTTAGAATTCTATTCTCTCCATATGAGAACACTCTACAAAGGGCTAAAATAAAATGACATTCATTTGGAAGATGACTGCAGCTGCCGCAAATGATTATTGCATATCTCTCTCTTTCTCTGTCTTGAAATAATTTCTGATGGGTGTAGATATATTTTATGGGAGGGTAAGAGATTACAATCTCATCAATTCACAAAGCAAAAAACGTAGAAACAATTGCAGTTTTCACCTACATAAACAAACAACAAAATGCGTAGATTATTCAGAAATATTAATGAATAACAAATAAGAAAAAAATAAATTCGGTTTCATCAGGATAACACAGGTAAAGCACAAGAAAATCGTTCATACACTTACGAACACGCTAATACTCTTACCAAACGAAAAAAAAGTATCTTTTATCGAGATTCACCGATTTAATTTGTCTGTTGATGACTATCAGCAAAAATTTGCACTCCAATTTTCATTCGCGCACTTCCACCAAGATTTTTAATGGAATGATGGCCGCCACACGGACACACTGTCCAAGCTAAATAATTAAAATAGCGAGACGTACAAACACACTTTTTTCACATCCTAATGAGATTAAGCATTTCGTGGCTTATTTTAAATTGCACCGTACCATAACATTATCACACATACACAGCTACAGCTGAGATTTCTATGAAAAAAAAAAATGAATTGAATCTAAAACGAAAAACGATTTTGTCACATTTGAATCCAAGTTTTGTCAATTTTTTCGTTCTGTTCGCTGCTCATCATCCTGTCAGTGGTTTTCCTGCGAGGAAAATAATAATTCTATATTTGTAAATAAAGTTGAAAATTAACCGCATCCCATAGGAAAAAAAAAGATCCGTTAACACTCAGTTTAACCACTTAAATCTATTCACTGTGTAAAGAAAAAAATCTGTTTTGATCGGGTGTTGAGAAAAAAAAATCTGTTTATTGTTATTTTCTGAATGAAATATATTTATGGATTCAAAGCGGAGACGTATTTGGAAGAAGAAAAGAGACTTTGAACATCCGAATCGAAAGTATTCGGCAAGAAGGGAGCTACAATTTCAGCGATATCATGTGAATTGAACGCTTTGCAATTACTTGAACATCCTTAATTCGTTTATACTTCATTTCTGTTCCAAAATCGACTTAAGAAGTTCGCCTTTGTTTTTTTACTCTTTAAATTTTGTCTAATAAAACGTTTTCTCTCTAACTAATTTCATTTTATCTAATTTGGATTGACTAACCTTTTACTTTACCATTTTAATGATTTAATCGTTTCTCTCATTTGATCATTACAACTCGTCTGTTTCACTTGCGGTAATTGAAGAGTATTTGTTTTGACTGTAAGGATATTTAGATGCAAAAGAAAGAGATGTATATTTTTTGTGTCAATTAGATGAAGAGAATAAAAGTGGTTTAATATATTTGTCCAATCAAAGCAATCGTTAAACCGGAAGGCCTCTAGAATTAACAATATCCAGAGAGAGAGAACTAAATAAGAATAAACTGAATTACAGACAACTAGCCCCCTCCTCCCCAACATTCACTCTTTAGTCGAGTGTAACAAAAAACGGAAAGAATTTTCTTTTTTTGAGTCGGAAGAAAGATTGAGAACACAAAATGATAACACAGAGAAACAGTTATTCAAATATGTTGTCGATAAACAATGAAGAAATTAAATAGAACAAAACAAAAGTCTCATTAATATGTATACAAAAATTGTGAATACAATATTTAATTATATAAAAATAAAAACAATAAAAAATCACTAAAGTTAGAAAATTGATGCGTGTTTTTTTTTCATCGAATTTTTCTCCTCAAGGCACTATTTGCAAGGCCCACGATTGCAATCGTGTGCGATCGTGCGCCTTGGATACAGTGCCTTTATTGACATTCGATAATTATGATTATTGTAATGGTCTTGAATAGTTGCCTAATATTGCAATGAATTTTATGCAAATATCATTCATATGATCCTCCAATAACGAGCCATGCCCAATTTTCCGTTGAAAAAGTAAGTGTGACTTAGTCTGCGATATTGTTCAAATGAGTTATTTTGGTATATAATATTTACGGAATCATCGATCGTACACTCGCATTTGAAAACTAACGATCGAATATATCGATTCGATATAAGGGCTGTTTATATTACTTTGCTTGACTATTTTGATGATCTTTGGAATTGTTGGTGGCAAGAAAACTGGTGGTTCTGAGTACGTATAAAATAAATCCCAAGATCGATTTTAAAATGAGCAATTGCCGCATGCCAACGAATTGCGATCTATAATTTTGAACTGTTTTCTTTTCGACAAAAATTATATTTGCGTTGATTAAAATGATGATATGTTGATGTTCATTGACAAGCTAAAAAGAATCCACCGAGCCAATATGTTGACTGGTTTGTTGTTATATTGATTACGATTATGGATTTTTTGATCATATAAAAATTCAACGTTTTTCACAGTCCATTCAATCCGTATATTCGGCGCAATCTTCGGGATTCCTGGTCATAGTATTACAAATGGTTCTTTCCGATAACCCCAAGGTACTATGGAATATCATCATGGTATAATACACCTGTTCGAAAAGTCAATCTTTATATCAGTTGAAAAATAAAATCAAAGCAAAAATACTAATATCTTTTTCGCGATTAGTTTTGCGAAAAATTTCCGTAGCAAATTCTAACGCTTTTTCGGTTTTCGATGCGTCCAACTCTGTAGATAACATGCTTTCGAGCTCGTTCAAAAAATTCTTTTTCAGTGGGATCGGCAGAAACATGACTCGTTGTCTTTGCTTCTTTTGTTTGCTCTTTTACCACAGTTTTTTGGGTTTTTTCACGAAAACTTTTCTGAATGTCGGAAATTGTTCGATTTTTCTTTGGTAAATCATCATTTAATGCAACGGTCATGAGAGTTGCCTGGAAAGCAAATAAATTTGTTTCATTAAAAAAAAATCCGTTCTACACGAAATGAGATACTTCTAAAATACATAAATAAACCACCTTCCATTCGGTGTCATTTCTTTCATTTAATGTCCTTAATCTAGTGAATAAATTGCAAAGATTATCCACAACTTTGCCATCTACATTGGCCATGACTTTGAAAGCATCGCAAATTTCCTTGAACGGCCTCGAACATAAACAAATCTAAAATAATGACATAGCTTAGAATCAAACGTTATTCAAATTTAGTGGCATAGCCAATTGCAATTAGGCGGTTTTGCATGTATGCCCCAAGTATGCGGTGAACATTCAGTAATTTTGAGCAATATGTGGACGCGTTACACACTTGCGTGTCGAACCATCTATAGTACAAAAGAAAACTTCTAAAACTAATCAATGAAACCAAAAAAATATATATTGTTGCAGACAGAACAATTATTTTCCAACGTAAAATGCAATTGGTAAAAATTCAAAAAATAAATAAAAGTACAAATTCATCTTAAAAATTAATGTCATTGTGAAAAAAAATCAAACCTGAGTAAAGCCGAAAATAACAAGTAACACGAGAAACTTCATTCTTCAGATTTAACAAGTGCAACTTTTTTTGTACTGCAAATCAAACTGAATCGTACGTAATGCAAATAATCTGTAAATGCCTGATGGAAAATAGATTTTGCTATAACTCACGGGTGAAAGGCTATCTAGCTACGCTAAGCAACACATTCAGTTTGCCCATACACAGATGAGAGAAAAATTGATAAAACTGTTTATTTGTTGCACATACAATACAAGCTCTGATTTCCGGTCATAAAGTTCATTGGAGCGCTTATTTTTACACATTGATAGAACGAGGTGCGGTATTCGAACTTGAAAATGAATATGTTTGAACTCTGGGAAATGTTTCCATGAGCTTTTCGACAAAAGAGAAAATGTCCATCTAATAAAGTGTAAATAAATATTTCTTTATTTTCATTCAATTGAACTAAAAGCCTTAAAAAAAATTAACACGTAACAACTAAAAAAAACTATTCTAGTGATCTTCATGTCCGATTAAATTCCATATTTGCTGCAATTAACATCAGTCTCGTCTGCAAATAAAATGGCACATGTCTTCCCTTTAGAAACGCCCAGTGCATTGTGGAATGCAAATACGTATAGATCGATCTAAAAAGAAAATTGTTTAAATTTTTCAATAAACCACACTTTGAGCAATAATAAAATCAGATTTTTTTTTTCTTCAGACCTCTTTTCGTTTTTCTGAAAGACTTGGCGTTCTGAGTATCGACATGAATCCCATCGCCTCATTTGTTTTGGAAGTGTTCAACTCTTTGGCCAATATGATTTTAAGCTTTTTCGCGATAATTTCGTCTGGCGATGAGTTCGTTTCAATATCGCCGCTAAATTTAAATTCAATCAAGTTTTTCGTGTATTTTTGCCAAACATCAAACACTGTACGATTTGTTCTCGAAAATCCCTCATCCACAGCCAAGGTCAGAAGAGTTGCCTGGAAATATAAACAACTGTGTATCAAACACTGGGATTCGCAGTCTGAGAAAGTCTTGAAACGAAAGACGTTTCTTGAAAAAAAAATACGTTGAAAAAAGGCAAACCAACAATTTTAACCTCAATCACCATATAAAATAAAGTTTGGGACCAAATGTATGTAAGGAAGCTGTCAGACTGTGCAAGAAAAACGCTTGCAACAAGCGCTTTTTTTTCAAAGTATTTGCATGCGAAAAAAATTCTTGCACGCAAGTGATTTCACCCCATGCAAGTGGAATTTTTGGCAAACGTACTTGGAATCAATCTCAAAAATACGTTGAAAAAATGCTTGCTGAAAGCGTTTTACTTGCACAGTTTGACAGCACCCTAATACAGCAAAATTGATACTCAATTCAACATTGGGCAGTTCTTACTACACAAGCATCCCATTCAGATTCGGTCGATCGATGCACCATAGCGAGCATCTGCAAAATGATGATCAAGTCATCAACATTTTTTGATTTTACGCCATCCATCGCTTTGAATCCGTCACGAATCTGGTCGAGCGTTTTTTCACCTAAACTGATCTGGAAAAAAATAACAACAACTTTTCAGTTAACCCCCAGAAAAATGATCTTCCATACGTTTTCGGATTCATCTTTTCGTTTCTAATTAGTAAAAACACCAAAATATCACATAAAAATCAGAGATAAAAACATTTGATAAACTATGTTTCAAACCTGTACAAGACCGATAACAGCAAGCATTGAAAGTAACTTCATCGTGTCGATTTAACATGTGCAATTCGGCCCAACACAACTCAAACTGAGACTATGTTTGATATCAATTGATTCAATTTAAATTCTTTTTATGATGTGTACTGCCCGCATGGTTACTGGTTATTAGTGGATTCAACATGACAATAATCTCTTGCTACACCGGATTCATCAGATTATATTAGTCAGAAATAGTCAGTTTGGCTTTGATTTATCTTGAGAGCAAATCACGTGCATGAATTTATTCGAATAACTTTAATTTTGGGGCTTTTTCTAATGGAATTTTACGAAAGCTGAACTTGCTTAAATAAGGTACGCATTTGTTTATGATCAATTGTTTTTTTTTATTTCGTGTTTAAACGATCCGGTAACAAAATCTATTAAAAAACACCTGATTATGATTTTAAATGCAAAATTTTTTCATCTTTGCTTCATTTCCTTCAGTGAAGATCTTTCACATTGATTTGTTTTTGTGGCTGAGAGGTGTGCAATCAATTTTGATATTCATTACAGTTGTAATTAGAAAATATTATATCACATGCCTTGCGCTTCGATACGCCAAGCGCATTATGGAATACCGTATCAACATAGTGAATCTGTGGAGAAAAGCAGAAGTGATAATTGGTGTGTTTTTGGAAGGAAGCATCTATACAATTTGTGTGATCAATCAAACTAGTTCGATACATACGTCTTTTTTCACTTTTGATACAGATGTACCATCCATTTCAGGTGAAGAGCTTAACGCGTCTCTAACTTTCATTGGTGGCAGTTCTTTGGATAGGAGCTTTGCGACTTTCTTCATGAATTTTTCATCCAGAATTTCCATTTCGGTTGCATGTTCATAAAACACTTCCCAAATGTCAACGGCTGTTCGATCGCTTTGATGTAAATTTTCTTCCACGACGATATTCAAGAGAGTGGCCTAAGCATTCATTCATATATCATTTTATGGAGGATCTATTTTAAGTATTTTGTTTGTATCTCAATTTATTTTTTTTAAAAATACGTACATAGCTCGCCAATACTTCGTTACTGTTGGTCGATTTCATCTTCTTGAACACCTCAATCAAATCATCGAGCGCTTTTTCATTTATACCAGAAACTGCCTTGAAATTTTCATAAACCTCATCAAGTGGCCGTAGACTTAAACAGAGCTGGAATATAAAAGAATTATGAATCACAATTCTTATTATGAAACCAATAGTTTTTATTCAATTTTTTTCAGTGTATTTGCTTACTGACTACGATTAATGTTGTGACACTTGGCTTAAATGCTGGCTTTTTATGATTTGATTCATTTTTATTTATATTAAATTTTTTATACGAAAACAAAAGAAAAGAAAATAAAACTAAATTTATTCAGTTTGCCATGGTAAAAATGTATGTTCAACTCAAGCAATACCTGTAAAAAACCAGTGAAAACCACCAACAGAAGGAACTTCATCTTATTGGTTCGATGTGTTCACAGTGAATTACTTTAATTGAAACTACAGTCAATGGTGCGTACGCTCATCGGTTTGGACGTACATACTGTGCGCTCCATGTTATTTATACACAAACATGTACACGTACAGTTGTACACAAGCATATAAAAATACATTGAATTGCTAGCGCTTCTTACGGCAACATCAAATCAAGGGATCGCTTACATTGTGATGAATTTGCACACAAAAGTCTAACAGCCGATTCAGACCTAAACCGATTTAAATTGGAATGATTCTTATCCACGTGGCGGAATTTAACAGCAACAATTATAGAGACCTAACACTTATTTATTTATAGAAAATTTTTGACATTCAAATTCATTTGGTTAACCCTTTGATGCACGATTTTTTGTTTTTCAATCATTTTGATACATGTTTTGTGCCACGATAAATAGAGAAAGACCTCATACTTAGATTTTTGAAAAATTGCGTATTTGTCGAGAAAATCGGAAAAGAGTCAAAAGTGTCAAATCACTATAAAATCTTGAAAAAATTAAATTTCATAAAACTAATGATGCAGAAAGTTAAATTGATGTGTTTTGGTCCTACGAGTCCTAATTTGACAATTGAAAAGAGTGTACAAACCCACAAGATAAGGAGAGGAAAAATTTGGAATTCTGCTATAATTTCGCATTTTTTTACAGCAATACATGAACAGAAAAAAATTTCCATTCAGCTAACCAATTGTAGCCTGTAAAGTATCAAATGAAAGCTAGTTCAATTCCCTACATTTGTTTCCAAACAAGAATGCAAAAATATTCAGTGGTTTCATAGCTATAGCGTTTGGCGTATCTGGTTACTTTAGGAACCGATATGTGATAAAGGGTTAAGTTGATAGCAATCAGATATCAATGTAAAACCAATTGAGTAATGTATTTTATCTTACATGTGTTAGATTTTTTGATTACAAGGCGAAAAAAAAATGCTGAAACAAGCAGTAAAGGTAAGTAAAAATAGAGAAAAAGGCCAAGATTGCCCATGTTTGGCATTCTTCATAAATCTGAATTTTTGGCTAAAAGTCCTAATCATAGATATTAGCTGAGCTACATGTATATAAACCAGAGCTTAAAATAAGAGTGAATAAAGTCCAAAATGGTGAATCAAGATTTGAAAATGTTAATCAAAAAATTCCAAACGGTGAATTAGAATTCACCAATGAAACATGGATTTAATTTCACTTTTTGAAAAATTTCGCGACTAAGAGCGACGATATATTTGATGTGATGAATATTACGGTTTCAACCGGTTTATTTGAATTTGGCCGCTGTATTGTTTCCATTACAATTGCTTAAATGGCTTCTGTGAATTGAAATACAACACAGGCGCACGCTAAAGCTAATTTTATGCATATTTTTCCAGTGTATTGAAATGACAGCTCAGAGAGAAATTACATATATGAGCGCACGGAATCCGTTCCACACACAAAAAAGGATTCATACATTTGCACACTTTGACTACGGATATACACATAGCATTTCATTTGCTATGCGTCCGCATACACATTTTGCATACTGTATGCAATACTATTGTAACTATAAATAAGACATACAGTATGCAAAATGTGTCATTCTATTCTAGCAGAACTATGTTGAAATATTTTATGTGCAGTGTGCGGTGTACGCTTGTGTATTTTTTTGTCAATTCGCTGATTTTTACACCCCTGTGGATTTTGATTTTGCCTCCCCTTTTCGATTCTAGCAAATTGTGAATCATAGAAAATCCTTATTTTAAGCTCTGATATAAACTACTCCTGTGAAAGTTTTTTGTGATTTACTAGATTGAGTCGTGCATCTCTTTCTATCTCTCATTTGATGGCACGTTTCAATGACACATCGCTTATCATTTAAAAACTCTCCTCTTATTTGTCCCACGTTCTTGGTTCTATGTACATATTTGTAATCCCCATGGAAGAAATGGAAAAAAAATGGATCGACCGAGTATGAATCTGTATCTAGAGTTGCAAAACTTCCAGGCTGGAAGTTTCTGTCCATTTAACGATCGTAAAAAAGATTCATTTGGTTTACACTATTAGTTCACGGTGATAAAATGCATTTCGAAAAACGGTTTTATTGATAACACGCGTTACGTCTCCAGGAGTTCAACGGGAGGAATATCAATGTAGTCATGAATCAAAATACGTGGCCGCTGTGTGTAAATGACTTCGATTAAGCAATACGTGAGGCCTTGACAATCAATGCGTTAGATTTGAACATATAACTAAATAGTCATTTAGAACGACAGCATTGAACTCAATGTGGACTAAATCAATGTATAATTTTACTTCCGGATCAGTTAATGTTTTTTATCCATTCCGTATAGTTTGTATCATACGACTCTTATTTTTCTAGCGAAAATTTTAGTTTCAATTCAGTGAATTTCAATCGCTTGATTCATAAATCGTGAGACATTTAATGAACGTGAAGTTGATAGTTTGGGAATCTTCTTGAAAAGTATGATCAGTTGTACATTCATATTTGCTTGAACACAATTAATTTGACATTTATTATTGAATTGTTTTTATAAACTATGCTCATCGAAATCAATAATTATTTTATTTGTTTTTTAAATCCTTCTTTCTCTGTCACGAACAGTGACTTTAATAGGTGGTTTAAGGTTGATTTCGGTAAAAAGTAATGACCTTAGTTTATGTAACAGTAGGCTATCTGTACACGAAAAAGAGCTGTCTATATCGAACTATGAATGCAATACATTTCCAAAGATTGCTATTGTTTGCCTGCCTGCCTTTCACTCAATTACGATGCAGAAATTTCGCAGGCGAAATTCGACAAGGCCAATGCACTCGTTGCACAAAAATATGATCAGAATACAGTGAATCATGAAACAGATTTTTTTTCTGCAAAATTGCTTCATTAAAACAGTTTTTTTTCGCGGCGTTTCAAATGGCATTATACCAATTTTGATACATATAAATACTTTTTGCATTCGCAGAATGATATACGATAATGTATTGTTTTTTTTCTCTCGGTAAATTCAGCGCACAACCGGCTCGATTGTCAATCTTCTTCAAAGAGCAACAATTCATTGCAATACAACGCTCCGAACTATATAGTTTTACTGACTTCTTGGCCAATTGCTGTGGTTTACTCGGTCTCTTCTTGGGCATATCAGTTTTGAGCCTCATTGAGTGTATCTACCATTTCACACTTTGCATAATCTATATCAATTGCCGTGAAAAACAACGTGAACTGGAGAAATCAGTGTTGACGGCCGAAAAGAGTTATCCCACCGCTTTCATCTCTAGTTGATGAAAGTTAAGTGGCTTTTGGGTCTAAATTTCTAACACACAGTTCACACTTAATTTTTTGTAGAGAAGATTTGACAGTAAATTTGGAGTTGGAAATTTCCCTATTGGTATTTGTTCTAACTTGCGGAACTTGAACGAGCATTTATGCTTTTAAGTAGTTCGCAAACATTTGGAACAAAAATATTCAATTTGTTGTGCTCTTGTTTATTTTCCATATCAAGCTTCAAAGAAGCTGACATTAGTAAGGAAGTCCAAGGATTTTGGT